TAATAATATAAACAAGCCATTTCTATAAAGATCTATCAGTCTAATCAGAGTTAGAGTCAGAGTTTCATTCTTCTCCACATCAAGCACAAAGTTCAGAAATTGTCTCCATGTGGAAACAAAAGTACTTATATTCCTTTCTTTAATCAAAGTGGTCAGTTTTGCCATTTCAGCCAACTTCATCAATTTCTGCAATCATTCCAGTGGTGGGTTTCTACCACCACTGGTGAACCGGTAGCAGTGGCAGTTGGAGGCTCCGCCCACCTGCCCAGACGTCATCAAAAACGCTATTGCACGTCTAACAAAATGGTTATTGAAGTCAACATTAACTTTGCATTTATCATACCATAAGTAGCCGTGCCATCCATTCATGGTCCCCTAATTCAAGTAACCTCTTATTCTGGAGGCTCACCCATTCTTTCACCCAAGTCAAACAACATGCATCAAAATACAATTTTATATTTGGCAGACCCAAACCCCCTCTTTCCTTAGCATTTTGCAGCAGCTTATATCTAATTCTTGGTTTTTTTTCCCTTGCCATATGAACTTAGAAATATCGTTCTGCCATTGTTTAAACGGATTATCAATTGTAAGTATTGGTAATGTCTGAAATTTAAAAAAAAGCATCTTTGGTAAGATATTCCTCTCGATTACAGAAATTCTACCCAATAGTGATAAATGTAATTAATCCCATCTTTATAAATCCTGTTTAATATCCCTCCAAAGAGGGACATAGTTATTTTGAAACAGTTTTATATTTGTATTTGTCAACATAACCCCTAAATATGCCACCTTTTTCTCAACCCTAAAACTCGACTTTATATCATTATCCTAAGAAGACATATTCTTGGTCAGCATTATTTTTTTCTGCTTATTTATCTTGAAACCTGCCAAAGCCCCAAACTCATTTAATTTCTTCATCAAATATTCTATATTATAGAATATACTATATCCTGTAAAAATATAACCAAATCATCAGCAAATGTCCCCAATTTATAAGTTTTTTCTTAATATTTATACCCCTTATTTTTTCATCTTGTCTAATACTTCTATTCAGGACTTCCAAAACCAAGGTAAACAGCAGAGGGGCAAAGGACACCCTTGTTCTGGACCCTTTTGAATTTCACATGAGTTAGTTAAGTCACCATTTACAACAATTTTGACATTCTGGGACATATAGATCACTTTAATTCCTTGGATAAAATTCAACCCTAAATCCATGAAGTAAGGATAATTTCGAAGGGGGAGGCACAGTGAATGATGTTGGTCTAAAGCAGATTAAGTTAGATTTCATTTTTCTTTCATCTCTGGTCTTTACTTTCTTTGACTTTCTAGTTATTTTGCTTTCCTGTGTTTTGCACATTGCTTATCCCAAAGTTTTTTTTTTTTTTTTTTTTGCTTTAATTTATATGCTGTCCTTCTCTGGAGACTCAGGGCGGCTTACAATGTGTTAAGCAATAGCCTTCATACTTTTGTATATTTATACAAAGTCAGTTTATTGCCCCCACAATCTGGGTCCTCATTTCACCTACTTTTGAAAGGATGGAAGGCTGAGTCAACCTTGAGCCTGGTGAGATTTGAACTTGCAGTAATTGCAAGCAGCAGATGTTAATCTGTTAATAACAGTGCTTTAGTCCACTGTACTACAGGCTCTGCAATAAGTTGATTTATAGGATGGGATGTCAAATTGAGGGCATAGACAAAACTGTGACTTGGAAACAGTGGTGAAATGTAAAATTTGTTACTACCGGTTCTGTGGGCGTGGCTTGGTGGTGGTGGGGTAATATGACTGAGTGGGCGTGGCCAACATTTTTTTTTTAACTTTTAAAATCATTTTTTCTACAACCTCTTCGGCTGAAGAGGTTGTAAAAAAAATGCTTTTAAAGCCTCTGACGATCTCAGCTGACTTGCCTGATCGGCAGAGGCTTTTTTTTCCCTTTAAAAACATTTTTTCTATAACCTCTTCGGTGATTGCGTGATGATTGCGTGGCTCAGCTGGGCAGTGGGGAGGGGCAGGGATTTTTGCTACCGGTTCTCCGAACCACCTGCCTCCATCGCTACTGGATCGGGCGATCCTGTCCGAACCGGGAGTATTTCAACCCTGCTTGGAACGTGTTGCATTTCCTGAACCAATGTCAGCAATAATAATTCAAAATATGAAGAGAGCTGTCCCTCTAGGGAGGATTTATTTTGCTCATAATTTAGAAAAGAATATGTGGCATGGTGAATAATAATTTTTAACAACAGGTGCATTTCACTTTGTGATGCTGCATGTAAGAGGTGTTTTATTAAAGCCCCATCAAAGTGGAGCATTTTTTGCAAAGCTTTGCCCAGACCATGTTTTCTACAATCCTTGTAGAAAGGAATCCGTTGTTATCGTCAGCCATTAAATCATGACCATCATATCTCCACCTCTCTTCCTCTTTCCTCCTCATCCCAGTTTAAATTCTACATCAGTCCAACTATTCTATGATGCATATGATGAATCTTAAATCTAACCTATCAAGACCTAGAGAGTTGTGCTTGACAGAAGAGCACAGTGAATGAATAGAGGGTATAGATATTAAAAAAAGCAGATTAAACTTGTCTACCCTGTGGAATATTTACTGAAGATAGGGAAATTAATGGAGAGCAATTAAGGTATGTGCTGTGCTGGTAGAAAGGTTTGGGTAGTGTGCTGTTTTTTGTCAGAAATGAATGCTTATCAAAGGAAGCTAGAATGGCTAGAATAGAATGTGTATAAGAATACTATATGGAAGATAGATTACAATTATGTTCCTATTTAATAATTGCAATATGTGAAAAACCCTTCTTGTCTGTTGAGACCTTTGAGATAGCATGAAAACCTTTTGATCTACTGCAGATAAGTCCAACTTTCATTCCCTGGTGCTGTTAAAAGTTTCCCATTTTATTGAGATCTACAATAGATTGTCTCAGAAGACTAAAATACCCTAATGTTATTTTGACCTTGTTTCAAGTCCTTGACTTTCGTTGATTAATTCTTTTGGATAAAGCTTGTCTCATTTGTCTTAGGTGGAATCCAGAGGGGTATTACTTGCAAAGGAGGGCATATATCACAGTACGGGAAGAACTTGTGAAGGCACCTTGAATCTTGCGTGAATACTTGTTGGGGCCTGCAGTGAGAACTACCTGTAAAAGTAGGATTACTTGTATTCTTATATAACGTTCTGAATTTATCAGAAAGAATACATTCAGGATTTATCCACTTGTTTCATTTTAAATCAGATTTTTATCTTTAATTCCATTCACTCTGCTTTGGGAACCTAGTTAAGCTGTTTTCAATTAAGTCAATAATATATTTATTTGTTCATTTGAAATTTCCATCAAAATTTCTCTGCATTATCTTTTAACTATATTTTTGCAATTATTTTTCACTGTGATGCAGTATCTTTTTCTAAATTTTGAACATTCTTTTAAATGTATTTCTCCTCATGTAGATCTTCTTCATCAATCCACCAAGCATTTTTCATATTTCCAATTAGCAAATTTCCACATTTCTGTGACACTATGATATAATTATTACTATGTTCAAGTAGCTTCCATATTATCTTTTTCCTAGATCTATATGCTGTTCATTTCAAGGGAAGATAGATAATTTTTTGAGTATTTTTTCATTCAGAACTTGCACTTTCTCTTTCCTCAATTATTCAATCACTCTATTTTCATTCCATTCCTCCCAACTGTTTCTATGATCTGTAGGTAGTCCTTGACTCACAAACGGAACTGGAATTTTGGTCACTAAGCGGTGCAGTCATTAAGTAAATTATATGATTGTTAACCAAATAACATAGTTATTAAGCAAAGCCAGCTTCTTGAATTGACTTTACTTGTCAGAAGCCAGCTGGGAAGTCGCAAATCAGGATCATGTGACTGCAGAAGGCTTCAATCTTTGTAAATGCAAGCTGGTTATCATCTACCCAAATTGCGATCATGTGACTGTCTTTTATTCGGTATAAAAGCAGGATTTAACCTGTTATAAAATTTTATTGGATAGCTTGCCCAAACCATGATTTGTGAATTCACAAGGTTAAATTATTAGACCACGAAACAATTAAGTTGCAGATGCCATGAGCAGAATGAACTGTGAAAGAGCATTTGAACGCAGTCTTTCGTATGGCTTTATCAACTTTGACTGAATACATAATGCAGAAATATATGCATTTATTTTACACCATAATTTACACAGTGGGCTGCAGCATGCCTATATGCATTGCCCATTACCATTTCAAACAAACAAAAAAATGTGTCATACAGAACTTGAATTATGGCATACACTTTTATGGGCTGTCCCAAAAGTGCTTTTCCAAATGACAACTGGACTGAAGAACTGAAGAAACTTTTTGAATGAGAAGTAAAATGTCTTCAAGGAAAAAAACCAAGAAAGTCCAATTGCCTTTTGGAAAAGCACCTTTTGGACCACTATGACCTGGATGATTTGACAATCTCTATATACTTTTACGGGCTCATTTATTAGCTTATTTTCTGCATGCTACATACAGTGTAGATTGTAGAAGGGCAAAATCTGAGATCAGAAATGACCACACTAAAATTGGCAAGTATTCCCATATGTAATGGTGATTCAGTGTGCAATTATTGAAGTAGTTTATGAATTAGCATAATTTTGATTGGGCCAGAACTAGATTCACTATTTGCCTTTCATGCAATTACCACTGTATTCTTGCTACAGGTAATAATTCCGTCATATACAAATGTGTGTATGTGTGTGTGTGTGTGTGTGTATGTGTGAAATTTCTTGCAACTGATGAAGTGATGCCATAATTAACACATTTATTGTAAAAACCTAAAATGTTAAAATATTCTTTGTTAGTTTTGCTGCAACAGATTAATGTAGCTACCCTTATGGAATATGTCAAAAATTCATCAGTGGTTCAGTATTGTATGTGTTCTTCTGTGCTCTGCTTCCTCTACTTGTCGGTTAAATTTTAAAGTAAAGAACATTTATTCAGTAATTGCCATATTAATAAAATAAGATTCAGAAACTTTAATAAAGTAAATTGCATTTGGTTTGAGAATCTGAGGATGGGCAGGAAATGAAACAATTAGATGTTTGTCAGCCAGTATTTTACTTTTGCAGCAAACTTCACAGACAATTTTGTCACAGCCTGATGCTGTTGTAAGGCTGCTTCCAGAGTTAAACAACTCTATGGCCAGAAAACGAAACCTTCACTTGAATATTGTAGCGATAATCTCTTCACACAAGTTTTCATATACATTTTTTGTTACAAGTAAATATTTACAAGAACTGAATTCTGAATGCAGTGCATTTTTTCCCTTGTGCAGGAAATTGAAGCCTAAACGGGATACACACAGAATTTTACAGAATGTGCCTGGTAGAACATTATGGATAAAATAGTACGGTAGCTTGAGACTTACTTATATATAAAAGCAAACCCATTGAAATCAATGGAACATATAAAACACAAAGTTAAATTATGTTATGGCTAAATGTGGATCAAATCAAGAGTCAGACTAAAGCTGCTTCTTGAAAATATGCTGTGAACAAACAAGAAAGCAAAAATACAAATGCAAAAAGGTTTTTGAGCCAACCCATGAACAATAAGTTTAATAGTTTTCAGCAGACCATAGCTTTCTAGAAGCTCCACTGTCTCATCTAGTTGAAGATGGACATACAGTAAACACAATAATATATGATACAACCCATCACAACTGGATTAAAAAAAATACACAAAATATAATACATAAAAATGGTTTTACATTGTGGACTGACAGAGCTCTAAAAAAAGGTGACCATAACCCTGGTAGGTTTTACAAAGTCTTTAAAAAAATAAAACAGTACTTCATGTGAAATTCATAAATACATAGGATGTGGGGGAGAGTTGGTTGTTGAGATTTGTGGTATATCCAACTAAGAAACATTCATGAAGCATTCTTGACATTCTTTCCTTAAGCTTGCTGTCACTATCTGAGGATACCAAATAGGCACTTGTAAGTATAAATCTACCTGAAAGTTGAGGCCAGGGGTGGAGGGGAATCTGAAGAGGAAAGCTGAGGATAGAAAATCTAATATTATAGCATGGGAGGACTAAAAAGGAAGAGAAATGTAACAGTCTGGTTTAAGAGGAGGCCTATTTGAAAGGCTTTAGCTGATGATTGTCAGTGTAATACAAGAACCTGCGTTTACATAAAGACCTTTGTTCTCCCCACATCTTTTTTAACAGAAGATTATTTTATTATACATGAGCTAATGAGAATAGGGAAAGTTTAATCTTAATTCCTAGAATTTTTCATTTAGGAATGAAAAATGCTACATATAAATCAGCCAGCACTCCTGTCCTTATAGATGCTGAGGGCTGAAACAAAAAGGAATTCAACATCCCAGGCTCTATTGATTTTACCTTCTCCCATATTAGCTGTAATAGCTATTATTTGATACCAAGGATGCTGTACCTCTCTCCCCAAATGCTTGAGGAATCTCAAAACGTACCTGAATGTCAAAGCTGGCATTTATTGTCCAGTCAATTCTTCCTAAGGGTAACATTTAGGACTGGAAGGTTGTGGCATCACAGTGACCAGTTTGCCCAAACAACACATGAGGAACATTCAATTTACCAAGGACAGTGGAGCAGAATTAACATGAGGCGAGGAGGAAAGGAGAAACATGATTTCCACTTGGCATTGCTTGATATAATTTTCAGCACGTTATGTTGCTCATCTCTCCAGAACACAACACGTTGCAAAATAAGGCACAGTTCTGAGCAAATTGTGACTTGATTCTCTACAAATTCCATTTCTGTGTACCATTCCATTAGTGTGACCACCTTGGGAACTCCTTAATACAAAAAGGAGTGTTTGTTCTAACATTGTAATGGAGTTATCTAGAAGTTCTTGGGTGGAATCAATTACAATCAATTCATGGGGGGGAGACCCCACAATCTTACTTGAATTTAAAACATCCTTCAAAGGGTTGGGAAACGACTCTGTCAGTTTTTCTTACGTTGCCACCTGGAGTTGCATGTGTCACTCAAACAACAGTCCAATGGCTCTTAGGAACATTCTTATTCTTCTGATCAAACACTGAATTAGCCAGTGCCTTTGTACTGGTCCTTCCAGCAAAAGCTGACCATTCAGGTAGTGAAAACGGTACTAGATCAGTAATGTAGTGGTCATACAGGCCAATAGTGAAAACAAGGCCCACGTCAGTTATGAAAAAGAGATCATGATTTTATGAAAACAAATCTACTATCTACCCTCTCAGACAGACAGACAGACAGACAGACAAGACAGTGGCAAAAATGACACCTCCCCCCCAATCACAAAACCCCTTGAAAAAGAAGGAATAACCAATGTTAAGGCAGAAGTTTAACCTGAATATTATGTGACCCAGTGCCATGAACTAAATTCACAACTCATCTGTTTTAACGTATTTTTATTCTGAAATTTCCCATCTACTTTTCACAGTCTCTTTGGGGGCTGCCCTCCATACATGCTAATAATACTATGGTGAAAATAACATTTCATTGTGATGAAATGTCTCCTTACAGCACCTTAAAAAAAAAACCCAACCCTCCATTTAAAGTGGGACAGATACCCAAGCATGAAAAAAATAATAGCGGAAGGCTTTGACCTGTGCATTCCAAATCGTTCTAGAAAGGAGTAACCTCCTGTGCTCCCTTTTCCAACAGTCACACCCTTGCCTTGCCTTGTAGTGTGCCCCTTTCCCAAGTACCTGCTTGGGAATTCCTCCATCAGAATTCTACTGGCTTTGGGAAAGTTCAATGGTCTAGGGCAGTGTTTCTCAACCTTGGTAGCTTGAAGATGGGTGGACTTCAACTCCCAGAATCCCCCAGCCAGCGTTGCTGGCTGGGGGATTCTGGGAGTTGAAGTCCGCCCATCTTCAAGCTTCCAAGGTTGAGAAACACTGGTCTAGGGGTTAGTCTTGCTAGGTTGATCAGAAGGAATTGGACAAGAAGAGGTGCTTTTTGTTTAAGTAAAAAAAAAACAACAACCCGTAGAACAAGTTAGGAAAAGCTCAGTGATAGAGACTCAATGGTAGGGACAGGCAAAAATCATACATTCTGTTAAATCCTCTACTACTCAAAACTACATGCTAATAGTTAGACAGGGTATAGTTGAAAGTTATGGGCCTCAGTCCAGGAGATGCCATGCATGATGATCTTGACGCTATTTTCTGTAACAGAATTCCTAAAAGCACCAATCTAAATTAGAAGGCAACTATGTTAAACTCTATGTTTAAAATCAGAGGCCTGTGTTTAGACTTAAACGTCAGCATTTTCAGCAAGAAACAATACAGCTTTCAAGTGACGTGGGACTGCATTTTGTCTTTCAGTATCTCCTTAATTATTTTGATACTAGTAAACCATGCAAGAATTTGCCAGGGAAAGATATGTAATACAGAATGGGGAAAATGTACCTGGATAATTAGATTCTGCCCCTTTTTCTGTGACTAGCACAGAAGCAGAAGAGAAATTAATACCTCACCAGAATAATGCTTTGGTCTATGCTTTTCCCATGTTTTTGGCAAGGCAAATGTAAAAACAAAAAGAAAAGAGAAATAGCTTATGAGAGTTGTTAAATTCCCACAGACGTATCGGAATATGTCCAAATTACTAAGCCTTAGCCAGCCCAAACATTTCCCTAGACCATTATGCCAATGTTTCTCAACCTTGGCAACTTTAAGATGTGTGGACTTCAGCTCCCAGATTTCCCCAGCCAGTTGTTTGCAAAATCTTGAAAGTTGTTAAGGTTGAAAGACACTGCCTTAAGACAGCTATCTCGCAATTCCCCTAGCCTAGTCAGACTGTTAATTTCATTATTACCTGATCTGCTTTCCTCCCAGTGCCCTCCTTCTTCTAATACATACTCTAACTTATAATATCCCACAAATACTTTTAAGACCTTCTTTTGCTTGCTGGGGTTCTCGTTCTTTTTTTCCAAGTCAGTCAGTCAGTCAGTCAGTCAGTCAGTCAGTCAGTCAGTCAGTCAGTCTCTCTCTCTTGCAAATTCATACCCTTGACTTCTTCCCCTCCCCCAATCTCATACTACTATTACTCATCTCTTCTATTCAAGCATCTGGGACAAAATTGCCACACTTTTTGTCATAATCATCAGCAGAAGCCTTCCACCAGCTTCTCAGCTTGGGTGGGGAGGTGGGACGATGCAGTAATCCTGTATTTAAAATGCCCAGAGTATTGAGGGAATAAAGTTATTTCCTTATAATTAACCAACAACTCCCCATGTTGCCCCAACTCCCTATGTTGGTACTGCACACAGACTGAATCAAGAGATTTTTTTTTTAAAAAAAAATTCATTATCTTCCTCAGGGACTAGATCGGTTCAAAGGCAGCATCAGATTTCCCACCTTTCTTAGAACAAGCATCTTCAGCCTGCCCATGTTAATTGTTCTCGGTAGATCAAAGCCACTAGGACAGAATCTGGAATTTGGCATGGAAAACATAGGCACATATGGATATTAACAAGAGTCTCGTTTCACCAGATGCTGTTAGCATTCTGTTGCTGGGAAGGCATCAAGAGGTACCAGACCTTGGCACCGACATCTCCTGAAATACTGATGACCTAGCCCCCAAGATCAGTTCTTCCTGCTACCTCCAGATACAATTCTCCTTTCACTTTATGCTTTCTTGTAATGCTTTTTTTCTGTTTGTTTGTTCAAAATGTTCCTAAGTAGAAAACATCTGTGATTGTGAAAGTCATTTTTTTGGCATTTTTTTTTCTTTGTTCATTTTCAAAGGATGTGTGTCAAGGCATCCTATAGAGGTGGCTTCTCTGACAAGACTTCTCTTTCCTCCCTCTTCTTTAAATTGTCCAGTCAACCCACAGGGGCCTTTAGTCTTTGACCAACTTGTACACATGATGCTGAGCTCCATGCTCACTGGTTGATACCTCGAAAACAAACGCTATGCAAAGTAATGTTTCCTGGGTATCTCTGTTTGTAACAACCTAGTTAAAAAAGAAACACATACAGGGAGATCAGAGAAAGTCAAACTGAATGGAAAGTCAAGTTATAAATCCAGAGAAAGGGTAATATATTTTGCATAAAAAACAACCACTGAAATTTATGCAGGAATTCCTCTATCCAACTCAATAAATTTAGATTAAGTTAGAGAACTCAATTTAAATGATAGCATTAGGATGATGTTTTCCACAATTTTACTAGACACTCATTTCTTATTTCTAGGATTTCATGTCCCTACAGTGCCATTTTATGTGGACAGGAACTTTTATTTGGGTTTCATGTTTTCTTGTGAACAGCTTAAGGCTTAATGTATATGGAAAACGCTAGAGTATAGTGGAACCATAATTATCCCTACTAACTAGTCAATTTCCTGAACTGTTATCCATTTAGGACTGAGTATGAGGAGCTGTTTTATTTTAGGAATTGTTGCCTGAGTTTACTTTTTTTACTTTTTTCTGCCTGTCTTTGTCTCTTTTGAATGAAGTTTTTAAATTGTAAACTCACAGGCAGAGGCTGATTGGTATGAGTGGATGAGAAATAATATAATTTACAGAACAATCATGTGTGTTTCTAAGAAACCATAGATAGTTATAAGAGTTGCAGAGCTAGTGACTTTCATTAGATTAGTTATCACATAACAGATGCACACCTGCACTTTAAATGAAAAAACTTAAAGAACTTGTTACCAATAAATTCATAACATCCTGTTTCAAACAGGGAAAAGTGTTTCAGAACATATTAGGAGGTGCTGTCAGAGGTCATGGGACTACTCCATCATGTCCTGAATCTCAATGGCTACATAGTCCTAGGAAGTAATCATGTAACTTGCCAATCATTAAGCCATCCTTTTTTTAAAAACAAAAAATAAATAATGAGCACTACAAGAGGAAAACTCTTGAGTGGAAAAGAATGAAACTATTATTTATACTGGTAGTCCTTGACTTATAACTGTAATGGAGCTTACCTGTTACAGTCGTAAACTGTGACAGTCATAAAATGGGTCATCCACATGGCTGACCTGATTTTACAATCTTTTTTGCGGTGGCTATTAAAGCAAACATGGTGGTTGTATAGTGAATGCCATGGCCATTAAACAAACCCATTGTACGCTATAGAGTAGTTTTGCTGAAAACTGGAAGTAAACACTAGTTTTCAGCAAAAACATAGTAAATTGGGGTCATGTAAAATAGAATCAAGGACTACCTGTAAACCAAGAACAAACCACTCTGATTCCTTAGAGAATTTAATTAATCTTGATGTGCTTCTCGTCCTTTTATAAAGATTAGTTTTAGTATCTGGACAGCAATAACACTGAAATGATTGAGAAGTGCTTTATTGAGCATCAGTGAGAAATGAAGGGGCCAGTTAGGAAACAAAACAGAAGAAGGAAGAGATTCTTTACCTGTAGGATGGTGAAATTCTCCAGGACACTATTCATCATGTATTTTTCTGGAAGATGTTTCAGTTTATGGATGAAGTTGATCATATACTCGCACATGGGAGACCGATGGATTCGATACACACATCTTCCATTCTCCATCCGAGCAAATTCAGTCTGCAGAAATACATGTAGAGATCGTGTAAGGCTATCAATGCTGAATCTGAGAATACCTACTCAGAATGGCAAAAATAATCAATGGATTATCTCTTCGTTCCCCATAGAGAAAGCATAGGACTCACCTCCACTTTTTCAACAACTTGTTTTCCAAAGGAGCACACTTTAGTGGAGACTGTGATGGTCATGTTTTCAGCACTGCTATATTGACTGCTTACACCATAAAAAGCACCAGGACCATCCTGTATAGTGCTGTTCAGATCCGCCTAGAATAGAGCAAGAGGTTCATGCAAATTAAACATGGATTAGAATGACTTATTGGCTCAGAATAGTGATCTAATTCATGCTAGTTAAAAGAGCGTGTTGATCAGTTGGACAGGGGAAAAGGTGGCTGGGGTCCACCTTTCACCCAAATATAGATGTCAAATCTACCTAGCATACAAAAGGAATAAAACCATAGCCAAATTAAGATTGAGAGGTCCTTGATGCTCTCTGAGTTTGCTAGAGCACCAATGAGGTTACCTAGTTTGAGTAATGAAACAGCTGCAAGAAAACAAGCAAGCTCAGAGAGCACCAAGGACTCTCATTTCAACCCTGAGCTACAACTATTCTCCTTTATTGGTACCAAATTAAAATTATTTAATACTCCGTGGATACTACATTTGATACTGCTTTAATAAGGTATCTTTTCCTATCTAACTGTATATTACACCCCCAATTATATCAGCCTTCTTCAATGTTGGATGCCAGTTATGGAAATTGGTCCAACTTTCTGGAAGATTGAGGCTAGAAAAAACTTATTACAGGAATAGGCTAAGAAGAATAGCAAGATCATCTGCCATATTCTCATGTAAAGAAATATTTAACAATCGCAGACACTGCTTAACTTCAATCTGCATGAAGTTCTTACCCAAAACTTGACAAGGAAAAAGGAGTTTTGGGGTCCTCTCTCATAGAGTTCTTTCAGGCCACCTTTTTTCTCAGGAAATTTGTCATAAATCTGGCGTATGTCCACTGCTTCCAGGAGTGGGTCACTGTATGAGGGATTCGTCTGTCCGATATGCACAAAAAGGTGTTTGCTATACTGTAATGGGAAAGAGAACAGAGGGCATCGTTACTCACTATGTAGGTTGAAACATTGCCAAAACAAAAATGGGATACCCTTGATGAATTTGCCCTGGATGACTCAAGTCTTTTTTTGCCAATTGCTACCATCTGAGCAAAAGCAGACCAAAAGGAGCCATAGTAGCATTTATATTTCACAAACCATTAAAAACTCTCAGGATACTGCTAGAGTGAAAACTCAGTTCTCTGGATCTTGATGTAATAGACCAAATTAACTTGTGTGATATGCCATTTGTGTAATAAAGCCATCACAGAAATTGGGATAGGATGGGAATAACAGATAAGTCTTAAAAATGACACTTCATTGCATTCTGTAGAATAAAGCAAGATCTATCATTCTCTCCTCCCTCTTGTATGAATTTCCACTCTGAAGAGTTACCGTTTCAGGGTCACGCTGTACTTCCATGAATGCTGAATACTCAAGGAGCCGCAACTTGGCAGAGGCAATCGTTCGGTCCTGCCAGACTGGCACAGCTGAGGCAGAAGGTGGAAGAGGAGCCAAGGGCTCATAGCCTAGAAGAATGGACAGATAAAACATTCTTGAACATTTTAGAACCAAATTTTAGTTGCAGGAGAAAAGTATGGAAAAAAACAATCTTTAACCACTGAGAAGAACAGGCAACTGGGCCAGTTTAGTTCAGTTTGGTTCATTTATCAATCTTTCCAGGCTCATTGTTATTCTGATTACAATAACATTGCATTACATTATATTCTCTTAAATCAAGAGGTCCCCCCCCCTCCATTTCTGGGCTGTCTATGGACTTAAGAGATAGCAACATGAAACACGTTATCTCTTAAACAATGAAGAGGCCATCATTAGACGTTTCCATTCTGGACAATTACCATTCAGTTTGTTCGGGAAGGTTATGGAGAAGTTTCTCTCTATTATCTGCTGCCACCTTGTGGGTCGGAGGAAGCATGCCTTCTTTTTGCTGCCCTTTCCCTCTAGAACAGCAGTCCTCAAAGGATATGAATGGCCCCATGTTCTTGGGGTTCCAGAGAGTCCTTAAAATCTGCCTTAATCCCAAACCTGGGGTTAACGGGTTTACTGATGTATTTGTGAGAGCTCTGTTGTATCTATACATTTTATTGTTTTGGTTGTTTTAGTTTAAGCTGCCTAAACAGGCAGCTAAACAATGTGTCTGCAATTGTTAATTGTTTTTTTCATTATTAATCAATTGTATAATGCAACAGAATGAGCAGCCACAACAAATTTAGTAAATTAAATTAAGGGAAGGTTATTCATGAACAAAATAGAGGTATTGATTAGAAATCTCAGACTTAAGAACAAACATGAAGAGTGCTATAACTTCCATGTATAAAACACAACTTAAATTCTCACTTACTGCTATAATAATACAAAAAGTCAGTGTTCTGCTTTTACTGAGTCCTTAGAGGATCATAGAACACAGAATAAAAAGGTTGTAAGGGACCTTGGAGGTCTTCTAATCCAACCCCCTGCTTGAGCGGGAGACCTTATGCCCTTCTGGACAAATCTCTTCTTGAAAACCTCCAGCAATGGAGCACCCACAATTTCTGGAGGTAAGCCATTCTGTTGATTGATTGTTCTCACAGTCAGGAAATTTCTCCTTACTTCTAGATTGAATCTTCCTTTAATGATCTTCCACCCATTATTTCTTGTCCTGCCCTCAGGTGCTTTGGAAAGTAGATCAACCCCCTCTTCTCTGTGACAACACCTCAAGTACTGGAAGACTGGTATCACGTCACCCCTAGTCCCTCTTCATTAGGCTAGAGATACTTAGTTCTCTCAACCATTCATTATATGGTATAGCCTCCAGACCTCCTATCTTTATTGCTCTTCTTTGTACTCTTCCTAGGTTCTCAGCATTATTTTTTATCAGAACTGGACGCAATATTCCAAGTGGGGTCTCACCAGTGAAGTATAAAGCGGCACTATTACGTTAAGTAATCTTCATATTATCCCTCTTTTGATGTAGATTGTTATGGATTAGACCAGAGAGGATAAACGAATTTCGTTGTAATATGATGTACAATGACAATAAAGGTTATACTACTACTACTAGCCTAGGACTGCATTGACTTTTTTGGCAGCTGTAGTACATTGCTGGGTCATACTTACCGGTAAGTTCTAGTCCATTAGGATACCAAATCCTCTTCAGGTATACTGTAACCTATTGAGCCAGGTATAACCTATTCCAGTGATGGCTAACCTTTTTGCCATCGTGTGCCAGGAAGGGGGGGAGTGAGGGAGGTTCGCGCGCGCACGTACCCACACCCATAATTCTATGCGCCCCACCCTGTGCATGCACGTGCAACCTTCCCCTCCCACCCGCTCTCTAGGAGTCTCTGGAGGCTGGGGACAGCAAAAAACGTCACTTCCTGTCCAACCGGGAGTTGGGAAATGGGCCGTTTCAGGCCTCTGGAGGGCCTCCAAGGGAGGGGGGAGGCTGTTTTCACCCTCCCCAGATGCTTAGAGAGGATCTGGAGCCAGGTGAGAAAGAAAAACGGGCCTTCCCCACCGCCCCAGGCCCTCCGGAGGCAGGAAACAGCCTGTTTCCCTACTTCTGGAGGGCCCAAAAGGCCCTAAAATCAGTTGGCCGGCATGCGCATGCATGCCACAGCTGAGCTGGCATGCCCACTGATATGGCTATGCGTGCCACCTATGACACGCGTGCCATAGGTTCGCCATCACGGACCTATTCTATACCTGTGCATTTGGGTTTTGTCACCTAAGTGTAGAACCTTAGTGTTCTCACCACTAACATGCATTTTATTGGAGAGGACCCAGTGTTCAAGTCTGTCAAGATCCTTCTGAAGCTTCAGTTTATCTTCCAAAGTGTCTACTCCTCCTAGCTTGGTGTCATCTGAAAATTTAATGAGCTCCCCTTCTATTTCCACATCTTGATCATTTATGAAAATGTTGAAGAGTACTGGGCCTAAAGCAGAACCTTGAGGTACTCCCTGTATGGAATGTTCTAAGAATCTAATAGCTGAATAAGTACTAAATAATATAAATTATTTTTTCTGTTGAATTGCATCACTTCCTTCTCTCAACCAGTTCATTTTACAGAAGAGTATCTATAGAATAAAACCAAGACATCAAAGTGCAACCTAGAAAAGTAATATAAAGACATACATAATAGGAAGCTTTTGTTCCAGCTGTCAAAACACAATTCTAGTCAAAGCCTGAGTATAACTATGGCCCTAAAGCATAATTCTGTAATTTCTTGATATACTGGCTCAGCATTCCTTCCATGTCAATTTGATTTTAGTGCAAAAAGCCCTGTTTCCATATGTATAAGTGTATTATGAATGTCACTGTGAACATATTGTCTTACATGCTGATTCTGCTTTTATTTTGCCTACAGGTAAGTGAACTGAGGACAAGCAAAAACTCATTTTAGAGAACATGTAACTTGGATGAGCAGTCTGCATTCATATCTGCATATAAATTACAAAATACACAGCCTAGTGGCACTATCACTTTCATTAAGATGATAATTACTCCAATTAAATTCACTATTGCAGTTGGTTAAAAAAAAGTTCTTGAGAGCAGCAATAGAAGAAGACAGCTATACCGTGTAAACAAATATTTGAATCACATGCAGATGGTGGTAAAGGAGACAGGAGACAAAAAAAAAAATTTAGGTTGAGCATCAAGAGGGTAAATTGGAGAAATCAAGTGAGACAGACCACTTACTGGCTAGTGATGGAGGCATGGGTGGCTGAATGGGGTAGGCTGGTTGTGCAAAAGGTTTAATGCTGAAAAACAAAATAACATCGAATAGATTAAATTATTTTGATAAACCTTCCTCTAATCTGCATATCTCAGGTACAAGCTTTACTCTGAATACCAGATGCCAGGCAATACGAGCAATAGCAGAAGGTGCAAGGATGAGGGAAATGATGAAATGTGTGATAGTACCATAATATAAATATCATGTATCACATATTTACATCAGATGTTGGGGTACAGGTAAAAAATTGCAGCATTTGTGTGACAATGTCTTTGGCTGCATGTCATTATTTTGCCAACATTGGGATTTGCTGCATATGTGACTGGGCAGAAAGGTGCTAGTTCATTCATATCGTTGGGCTTCTCATAGTCACTGGTCAGTCAATGTGGAAGCACAGTGCTGGACCTGATGGATCTTTTGATGTGATCCAGCATAATCCTGGGTTTCTGGGATTATATGTCTAAAAGTACTGACTCTCCAGTACTTCTATACCTATCGTAAATTTAATACAGTTGATAAGGAAATATTGGTGGGCTTTGCTAGGGCAGGATTTCTTAAGTGGAACATTATCTAAACAATGGAAGAGTTCACACAATGTCTTCCACATTTGAGTTGGAGCAATCTCTGCGTGCAACTTGTAACCAGAATTCAATTATTCTGTTTTAGAAAAATAGAACCGTGTTTCCCCAAAAATAAGACAGTCTTATATTTTTTTGAACCCTGAAATAAGCGCTTGGCCTTATTGCCATGTGCTCAAAAGCCCAATTGGGCTTATTATCAGGGGATGTCTTATTTTGGGGGAAACAGGGTAACAAGTTTGTTTGAAAAACATAATCTTGCATCAGCACTAAAAATGTACCATTAGCATACAGTTCAAGCACCTACTTTACAAAAGTCATGTTCAAGACTATCCTATCCCATCCCATCCCATCCCATCCCTCCCTACTTACTCCTGAGAAGATCCAGACTGTCCTGGGATAGGCCCACTCCAAAACTGAGAAAGCAAAAAGGACAAAAAACAGGAAGTCAAAGATATTCTCAATGGCTGATGTCATCACTCAATGATTCACAGCATGTTAAGGGTGAATATTTAATACATTTTCTACAAAATAGTTTGAAACTTCTGCCACCAGCAGTTAAAAACTGGGACTACATCAGTGGGGAACTCTACACAAAGCCAGAGGATTTTCTTAATTTTAGTAAAGTAACCGTTAGATAGAGGTAGGCCAACTGTGAAGGAATTAGTGGCTGTAACTGAGCTTCCAGATTTTTAGAAAAATCTTAGGAGCCCACCTGTTGGTTTAACACAATCACTGAAGAAAATGAGACTGAAACTTATATCCATTTTGGGGGGATGGTGGGAGAAGGGATGAGAATGGAGGGAAGGCTTTTGAGGGGCAAACCAGTACTATTTACACCCTTAAAATTCATAATCTCAAAATTGCCATAGGTAGTCAGTCTTTGGTTAATGACCACTTGTTCAGCAACTGTCAGAAGTTATGACTCCCACAGTCATATGATCATGATCCTATGATGGTCGCAGTGTCATGTGGTCACATGATCACCATTTGCAACCTTCCTTGCCAGCTTCCCACGAGCAAAGTGAATGGGGAAGCCAGAAGGGAAGATCACAAGTCACTCCAATAAGTAACTCCCATTCCTGCTGCTTTTTCTCCTGGGGAATCTGGCTATGGAGTATAAGATCCCAGGGATCCCGTACCACTCTATAGCCTGTGCCCACCTATAGTCTGAAGTGCATGCCCAATCACCTGGCCATACTTGTGTGGTGCCTACCGACAAACCCTCCTGCACCAGCATTTCTGTAGGGCATTTCTTACCCTGGGAGCAGCAGAGAAGACAGCCTGAGGGAGTGGAGGAGGAGGACTCAGCTTGTTCTGCAGGACACTGGCAGATACAATCTGTGCCGAAGACATGGAAGCCATACTCTGCAAAGCCTTGTCCTTTGAGACTTGATCCTTCAAAATAGGATAAAAATGAAACAGAAGGAGGGCTTGCTAATCCATACCTTGAGAGCACACAAAAATAACAAGCCACCTGAAATTAAGGGATAGTTTTTATAATCTTTGTTAGTTACACTAAAACCATTTTCTGTCTGAGCTTCACCTACTGCACACTAACTATAAACCATTCATCCAAGTTGTTTCTGAAAAGTAATGAGATAGTCGCCACTACTTTTAGAAAGGAACCGTGTTAATCAGAGACAGTCAAACTTCTTTGGTTCTGTACAACTTAAGCAAAGTCAGAGAAGCAAACCACAGGCAGCTTCTTAGCACAATGTTCAAATTCTCCAAACAGCAGCTTCTACTTTTCTCTTTCTAGCAGTATCAGAAATCATTTCGGGTTTTACTGAGATTAAGGATTTTAAAAATCTTGTCAGGACCTATACGGTTATCTAAAACTAATGGAATAAAGACAGGTCTGGGTGGTACTTACCAGGTTCATAGCCTGCATGAAGGGAAAAAGAAAAAGAGAAATATGATTAGAACTCAGGTATGGGTAAAGGCTGAGGAAAATCTTCATAGTATCTATAATCATAATGGGATTTAAAGGTATTGCGATAATCTACCTTTACTTTGTCCCAAAGATGCTATTTCAAAAGGCAACTGGATTTTGTTTTTCCTTAAGCTTCCTATCCAAGAAGCTTCTTCGGTTCTCGAAGTTCTTCAGTTTCTTGGATGAGAAGCGAAACATCTTTAAGGAAAAACAAAGTCCAATTGCCTTTTGAAAATCCTTTGGGACAACCATGACCTGGATGACTGAGAATCTCCATAGATATCTACCTTTACTTTGTAAATAAATTACACCTGAGCAAGGCCAATTTCCAATGTATCCTACTTCACAGAATCCTGGGAACTTTGGCTAAAAAGGGAATGGGTGGAAAATCCCACCTGGCAGGATGCTGATCTCAATGGATATCTTCTTCATGTTCACAAATGAAGTGAACAAGCAAGGTTTTTTTAAAGTCAAAAATTGAGCAGGCTCTCCAGTTTTGCTCTTCTGCAAATTAGTCTAGGTCTATGTATGGATGGTAACACTCTTTTGCACACTAGACAGATACAAATGAAAAACAATGCTCAAGGCTCTCTTCTATCATGTCCTTGCACAATTATACAGAAAAGGTAAATTAGGACTATCATATCTAGACTGCAATAGTCTGGATGATCACTAGATGGCAGCACGAACATACAGAAAACTTATCCAGGATTTTTGCAGGCCATATATCTAACCTTAAGTAAGTACTGCACTGAAGTATAGATATAATTTTTTATGCTATATATTAAAGAATAGCAATGTATTCTAGCATTAATATTTGGTATTTTTAAGAATACACTGCTTGCATGCAGACAATTCTGCGAATCATTACATCTTCTGCACTGTTTTTATATTTTCTTTGTCTCCCTCCTTAAAGTTTAAAGACTAACTGGCTGTGAAGCCATTTCTCCTTTCAGTCCCTCTTCTAAAGATGCCATGAAACATCTTTAGCGATCCAGAACTGAAGCTGAGAGAAGTTTATCAATACTGGACCAATCTCAAAATCTCAGTCCTGAATTTGCAGGGACAGAATTAAAGATCATCTCAAGTGGATTCCAATGTCACAATTCGGCTACAAAAGGAGGATTTATTTTCTGAGTATTCTCCCTCACCCCAAGGCACAAGTTGCTAGCAGTGGTGCCTAATGAGTTGGCTAATTCCAGAGTCTGAAAAAGGTCATTTTGTCATGAAGTAGAATATATACAGGGCTTCATTGTTAATCGCTTTGTAAGTCTGTTGCAAATGAATATACTTTTGTTCATCATATAACATTTCAAAACAAATCAGAAATGCAGTATTGTGGACAACTATCTATTAAAGCAGGCTACAAAAGCCATGTTTCGGTATAAGAATGCACACACAGCCCCAGTTACGGGCATACAAAGGCACATGCAGGAACAACATGGCTTAGCAATGTGACTGCACTGCTGCGCACTCAAAGTCCAGCATTTTCTTCCACGTATCCCCCTTATATCAAAACTAAAGTATCAGCAACAACAGGATTAATTTGGGCATGCATCCTGTAAAAAAACTGTCAAGTATATCTCAAACCTAAGGGTTACAACAGCAATTTTAAAAAAATCAATGAAGATACCAAATCTATTGTTCGATATGTATTCAAAAGATTAAATAATAATTATTATTATGAAGTAATGACATTAACTTCAAAAGAATGTTGATAAGTGATTCTATTCTATTCTATTCTATTCTATTCTATTCTATTCTATTCTATTCTATTCTATTCTAGGTATGAATACACTTCCTATTTTATTCTTACAATAATGTGGGAGGCAGGCCAGATTCACGGTGTATACCCAACTTGTCTTCTAATGAGCCACCTAGCATATCCACTCAGAAGCCAGTTGCACTGAGTTCAGTATAACCTACTCCCACATATGCCAGTATAACATCATGGAAGTATAATACGTAAGAGGTTTTGCCTCTGGTGACAACATTCACAGCAAGTAGCTAAGGTTTACTTTGAATACGGAGCTTAAAGGGAAATTTGCCCTTTTCTTGCTTACAAATAAGAAACAGTTAGATGTGCCGCACATAGTGGCATTTCTAGAGTATTTGACAAAAATATTCCTTGGCTTCAATTGACTAGCATGTCAACCTCATTTCTGTGGTAATGTATTTTCTAACTTTTGTGGAAGGTTTCCTACAGGGTCAGAATGAATGAAGATAAAGATGCTCTAGAGCAGGGGACTCCAACCTTGGCAACTTTAAGATTTGTGGACTTCAACTCCAAGAGTTCCTCAGCCAGCAAAGCTGAAGTTGAAGTCCACAGGTCTAAAAGTTGCCAAGGTTGGAGACCCCTGCTCTAGAATTATATCCAATTACTGCATGCAATACACTTCTATATCTTTTTTTACTGTTCTATGCCACTCTTCAACTGGAAGTATTTACTGAATTCTATGGAAACCAGGGATTTGACAATAAATATAGGCAATGTAAATATAGGCAAAGTTGTAAATAGTCAAGATTTTCTTTCTTTTTGGGTCAAAAGATGGGGAGACAACCGTTGACAACTTTCCCAATCCTATTTAAATATATATATTCTACCTTGGGGAATCTAGAAAGGGAAGAGAGAGGCAATTTTGTAATTTTTTGTTTCTTTCCAGGGCATATATTCACCAACAAAAATGAAAAGTTAATCCAGATCAGTTTAGAATACTCTCTGGCTTCCTTTAGAACCACCCCAACTCTCCGTGCTCCATCTTCAGACATTTTATTCAGCAAATCACAATACACAGAACACACAGAAGGGAAAGGGATCAAGTTAGTCAATCTCCAGTTACAGAATAAGGAGAAAAAAGCCAACCACAGAAGAAAAGGAAAGGCAATCACAGGATAAAGCTCTCCAGTTGCATCCTTGCCCAGTTTCCATAGTTCCTGGTTTCACGAACTTGTTCTACATATCCTGATCCAACCACAGATACAGTATCTTATGTCCCTTTCTGGTTCTGTGCATCTCGGTTGCAACCACTGCATAGGCCTCCTTGCCAAATAACTTATTCAATTCTTAAACACATCACACAATAGCTTCCGTAAGAGAGGCTAGGGTAACAACTATTTCATTTGTTTCTTTCTGTACCTGGCTATGGTAACAAGTAAATTAACTCAAGCCTAACCCACTCGCACTAATAACTTAATAACCGCATATTGCCATTGTAGATAATTGTTATATAATTAATAATAATAGTACGCCTCCTATTTAACTTTAATATGCAATAGCTGGTTAAGATTATCCACTGTTTGGAATTGGGCATCATCAATATGCAGATGATGCTCAATTGTACATCCTGAACAGATGTACAATTGCTCTTGGTCACTTCGTCAGTGGATTACTGCAGTGTATTTTCTACTTGGAGATGTCCTTCCAGAAGCTACAGTTGGTCCAGAATACAGATAGCCTTCAACGTACGACCACAATTGAGCCCAAAATTTATATTGTTAAGTGACATATTTATTGAGTTTTGCCCCCCATTTTATGACCTTTCTTGCCCCAGTTGTTAAGTGAATCACTGCAGTTGTTAAGTTAGTGACAAGGTTGTTAACTGAATCTGGCTTCCCCATTGACTTTGCTTGTCAGAAGGACCCAAAAGGGGATCACATGACCCCAGGCCACTGCAGCTGTAAAAATATGAACCAGTTATCAAGTATCTGAATTCTGATCACATGACCTCAGGAACGCTACAATGGCCGTAAGTGTAAAAAAAAGGCCATAAGTCACTTTTTTTCAATGCCGCCGTAACTTTGAATGGTCACTAAATGAAAGGTTGTAAATTGAGGACTATATGTATAGCAGTGTGGACAGTAAAGGAAGCACTGTGTCATGCATGCATGATCTTGCTGCTTTGTGAGCTGCATTGGTTACCATTTGACTTCCAAGTGCAATTCAATGTGCTGGTTATCACCTATAGACCCCTCTACAGGTAGTCCTTGACTTATAACCGTTCATTTAGTGACTGTTCAAAGTTATAACGGCATTGAAAAAAGTGACTTATGACTGTTTTTCACACAATCGTTGCAGCATCTCCATGGTCACATGATCAAAATCAACACTTGGCAACTGGAATGTATCTATGATGGTTGCAGTGTCTTGAGATCTTGTGATCCCCTTTTGCGGAACTTCTGACGAGCAAAGACGATGGGGAAGCCAGATTCACTTAACAACTGTGTTACTAACTTAACAATTGCAGTGATTCACTTAACAACTATGGAAAGAAAGGTTGTAAAATGGGGCAAAACTCACTTAACAACTATCTTGCTTTAGCAACAGAAATTTTGGGCTCAGTTGTGGTTGTAAGTCGAGGACTACCTGTGTGCGCTTGTCACACCAGTTCATAGGCCATTATTCATTCTATACAGTTAGCTTTGTTAAGACTTTTAGGGTTATACAGTTAAGAGTTCAGGTGAAGGCATATTAACAAATGTCACCTGATAGGATTAACAATATCACTAGGTGTTTATGGAAAAACAACAGCCAGCTGTTGAAAGTCCAATCTGGAAAGTTCTTACTGGAAATTTTCTCTCCTGTTTTTCCACTGATCTGACACAAAATGAATTCTTTTAGACACACAGCCCTATTCAAATCCTGCCACCTAGAGATGCCCCATGACATCTACCAACCTTTTCTCTCTCTCTTCCAAGATTTCTAGCTTTGATCTGATCCCAGGATCAAAGGGAAAGGGGCAAGGACATAAAAGGAACAGAGTGGCAATAACAGAATGCAGTATGTTAGCTGCAGCATGGCCATGGCTTAAAGGTGAGAAAGCTGGGAAAGCGCGTACCTTCAGCTTGGACTGAATCTCACGAGATTTCCGTCTTGCTAGAACCTGCAAGTGGCTAGAGACCTGCAGAGAGAAAAGCAGAAGGAGAGGGGGAAAAACAGCAGAGCCGTCAACCAGAGGAAAGGAGAGGAAGGAGAGGGGGCTGCCCATGCTCACATACCATGGATGCATGGGCAGGGTCTCCAACGTACCTTTATGCCAACCTGGTACTCTCGCACCTTCTTCCGAGCTAGAACCTGTATATGGCTGGACACCTAGGCCCCGCCAAGTCATTCAAAAAGGAAAACACAAAAAGAATGAAGGTATGACCCCATATCGACAACAGTGCTTCAAGCACCCATGTGAAACACACTGGCCTCCTAAGCCAGTTGAAGTTCTGACGGAATAATATCGGCTTGCAGGATAATGCTTACTGAAAGAATCAGTTGAAGGAAGTTGCTGTAATCTTGCTGAATGAAACATTTGGAAATATTCCCAGGAAATACCATTTTTAGGTTTCTTGGCAGCAACAAGTACTTTCAATTTCAAATTTATTATTTATTTATTTATTTATTTATTTATTTATTTATTTATTTATTTATTTATTTATTTATTTATTTCATTCATTCATTCATTCATTCATTCATTCATTCATTCATTCATTCATTCAAACTTCTATACCGCCCTTCTCCTTTCGGACTCAGGGCGGTGAACAGCCAAGATAAAAAAAAATTATACATAAAGTTACAAATAGATTTAAAATAATTAAATAAATTTGGCCCGTAATTTAAAACTTATCAATTCAAAAATCCGTATCAAATTTTAAAACCAACCATAAAATCAGGACAGACCGGCTAATTTCTCATGGACTTCTATACATTATTAATCTTAGTGGTTTCAGAAACTACTCGAATTCTGATTTACAGGTATTTTGCTGCTTCAGGCCCATGCGCTCTCCTCAACTATGCAATCCCCTGTTTACTTATTTGATTTTTTCTTAATCAGGTAACTGAACTGCCTTTCACACAATCAAAACTATTTATGGGAAGGATCTTCAAAATATTAGTTCTTGATACATATAAATATTGATACCTAGAAAACATGAAACATTTCTCAGCTCTTTGCAAAACTGCTTTTAGGCAGCAATACGGTAGACATGAGGCTCTTCTTCAGAATAGAAATGAGTTTATGGCTTTGAAAACTGGTTCAATAGTTTGGATAAAAATTAAATTTATGGTTGATTATAACTGACTAATGAAATAATCTTTTCAGGAAGTCATAACGCATAGTTTTCCATTAACAAAATATTGGATATTATAGACAAAGGACAGGTGAAGGAATTCATTACCTAAACAGCTACATTAACTTTAATCGGTGTTAAAAACAGACAATGGAAATGGCCTTTTTCTCACTCTATATACATTCATTCATTTATTTTATTTTAAACTTTACATTTCTGTACAGACACAGCTCTATTCAGAGCACATCTCCAATGATTGGGAGAGCTGATGAAATACAATAAGCCAGGCAATAGGGAAAAAACCCCAAAATAAATCTGTTCTGTTTTATAGTGACATACTTTGCAATCCATTCCAATCTCTCGAGACAGTTTGCAGTCCCATTAAATATGCTTAGAATTGTCTTATAAACCATTTCCTGGCTATATATGATTTCAGTTTCAGCAGAAAGTTATAGACTGTTAGCTTCGGAGCTGAAAATCATATCTGTAAAGATAAACAGCTCAACATGAAAGATGTGCTTTCAGACAGTCCAATAAAGATGCCTAGAGAAATCAGCACAGATGTAGGACTGGCATTTTCAATTTCACTGTACTGTGGAAGGACATAAACCACAGTTAAAATAGGAGGAATGGATTGGAACTCTAGAAACAATCATTTTCCTAGACAGCTTTCATTAATATGTCATGCACTGCAATCTAACATAGCTAACACTTCTTCCATTAAAGAATTCTGCTGCTCTCCACTAATGAACCCTAATTATTCTAAAAGCTACTCCTATATGTTTCAAGAAGAAGAAAATGGAAACAAAGGTTAAACTGAAGTTTCATTCATGAAAGTTTTTACAACACACATGACATGTCTGCCCTTTCTCCATTCATAAAAAAAATTACCTAGAAGACCATCGGATAGGTATACACATGGTACATTCCCCATCCCAATTGTTTTTTTATACTGTACTTCAATTTTTATTGAGAATGAAAGTTTTGGATTCAATTAGGCAGACTTAGCAAGTAATAACAGTCAAGATTCAATAGTCATCTTGAGACTGTTCACAATGTGGTGCAATCTCACTTGGAAGGAAGAAGTACAGTCCAAGATTTGTTACTGTTTGTTCAAAATTTCTTACTGGCATAAATGCTCCCTCGCTAAAATAGAAAACCCCTTTAATCTTTCTCTTATATTTTCCATTCTTGTAGTTGTTTTTCTTTATTTATGGCTGTGAATTTCAAATGTTCACAATCCAGGACTTGGCTAGTCAGAACCCTTCCCTCCGCTCCTGTTTTTAAAAATTTCCATCAAGCTAAATTAATGAGGAAGAGTGATACTATGGGCAAAGGAATTAAGAATGAAAAAGTGAAATGAAATTAGTTTGGTAGAAGTACTTACATAAAACTTTAGCCTTTACTGAATTAAAACTTAATAATAATTGTTAATTTTTAATAAAATCCCTTCATTGTTTCCACTGACATGTTTGCATTCACTGGTATGCTAAACAAGTCTTCCGCTTGAGGATTCTTCCCAGCTTTGTTATAGGATCAAATGGTCCTTAAGTGGGCCTCCAAATCTGCCTAATCTAAAAGGAAGATTTGCTAAAAGCCAGTGTCATTTTTTATTGTGTGAAACAGTTTCCAAAACTCAGCAACTTCCAGATGTGTAGACTTCATCTCTAGAATATTCAGCAATAGCTGGCTGCAGAATTTAGAAAGCTGAAGGCCACATATCAGGAATTCACCTATTTTGGGGAAATTCTGACAAGTGACTTAATTAATTGCCATTCTTAATTCCTAAATTTTAAGTTATACAATAAATAAAGTGTTTCTCAAACATAAATCCAGCCGTATGAAATCAAATGATTGAAGATATTCTATTTTTTTGTGTGAGATAAATAGCTGTCATCCATAGGAAACCTATGTTAAGAAAGATGAAACAGAAATCTCACAGGAGACCAGTGGCTGAGTCAAAATGAGAACTTAAGGATCACATATAGCAATAACACTTAGACTTATATACCGCTTCACAGTGCTTTACAGCCCTCTCTAAACAGCTTACAGAGTCAGCCTATTGCCCCCAACAATCTGGGTCAACCAGATGGAAAACTGAGTCAACCTTGAGCCTGATGAGATTCGAACTGCCAAATTGCAGTCAGCCGGCAGTCAGCAGAAGTAGTACTGCATTCTAACTTTGGCACAACTTTTGTCAGTTAAGATATCCACCATGTAAGTTAACAGTACACCAGATCACAGCACTGGAGCATGTATATATCAATATATATATATACAGATTAGTCTTTTTTCATTCTTCACACTTTTTAAAGGGACAAGCATGAAATGCATTTTTACCTGTTTTCTAGTCCTTGTCTTCCCTGTCCGTAGCTTGATGTATCTTGCTATCAGTTCATTGCGTCCTAAAGCAGAAAAGGAAAAGATGTAATGTGATGAATGCAGACCCTCTCTTGTCCCACTTCTTAGAAATAAAAGGCCGCCTTCTGATCTACCTTCCTTACATCCTTCAAGCTGACAAACAGCTGAATTCCTGCTCCTAACTCAGTGATGACATATTACCAGAAGATGGCACTAATGTAACTCTTCTGTAATTGAACAAGATGGCCTGAAAAAAGCTCTGCTTGAGGCCCTGGTTGTTTATGCATTGGACCAGATATCCACAGCAGTCCATAGTAAAAAAACAAAAACAAAAAAAACCACAACCCTGGTGCTTAAACTGGACACTCAGAAAACAATCCAAACATGGGACACACAGAGATTTAGCTAGGAAGTCATTGTTCTCTTTAAATAAGTTATGGGATTTCTGAGGACCAGGATTTGTAGCCCAGTCTGGGAACCCAGAATATGTCTTGCCCTGTTCTGCCATGTTTAATTCAGCTATCACAGCATGCTTGGACCATCCCTCCCTCCTTCCTAGCTTCCATGCATGACTCCATGGAGTTTTCATAATACAGAAGAAAAGAGAATGTAAAAAAAAAAAAAGCTGTAAAATACGAAGGTATGGACGTTCAGAGTTTGAGGTCTGATATACGACAGTCAACAGGATGTGCAACCTACTGGGATGTTTTAAGTGACACTGGCTTCTGAAAGGAGTCCTTCCCAACCTCCTCTTTGTCCTAATTTGAAGCAGAAGAGCTTTTGCTCCACATTTTACAGGCCAGCTGTGGCCAATCTAAATTCAAACGTCAGAGCAGCTGGGAGCTTTCTTTTCCCTCATCTCCCTCCCCCCACCCAACATGGAAGAAGAATAGTTTGGGGAAGCATGCCAGATTTATTTTGATGGACCAGATGGTATTGGCTAAAGCTGGCTGAAATGCCCTTGCAGCTAACTTAGAACAGAGAGAGACAGAGAAGGCTGAAGGCTGAAGCAAGTGTGGTTTTTCTGGCAAAGCCAGAGTTTGGTTTTCCTTTCAAGAAAAGCATTGGTTTTCAGCCTTGGGGACAGAAGTCTTAAATGAGGTCACATCGCAGTCCCTCAACCATGCCTCTTCTCTTCTCTCCCCTCCCCACCACCATAGTTTTTTACAGACAAGACCAGGTGCTGCGCCCAGTCAAACAGCACTATGTGAGAGGGAAAAGGAAGGATGATACCGAATACTGGAGTAACAATACCATCATAAAAGCCATCTGGCTCAGCGCATATCCCTTGATATATGCAGTTCCTGACATTGATAAAAAATAAAATAAAATAACAGAAGACTAGCTCTATTTTATTTAGTGGCTGAGAAAGAAAGACAAAGTAGGATGACATGTATTGTAAGAGTTGGTTCCCCCTTAGGAGTTGTGCGCATGCATACACATTTCTGTTGGGACCTATTCAAAGTTTTACATAGCATTCCCTAGCCTGGTATTTCTACTGTACTACACATGTACAGTTCTGTGAAAAAAATATTTGCCCCTTTTCCATTTTCTGATTTTTTTTGCCACTGAATATTATCATAGTTTAATGTTGGTTCTCTTAATATATGAAGGGAATCTAAATGAACAAATAGTTTTTGATGATATAAATGAAATTAAGTACTAAAGCCATCTAACGTGCAAAATGACAGTGTGGGGAAAAAAAAGAATTGCCTTCTTGGATTTAATGACTGGTTGTACCACTTTAGCTGCAATAACTGCAATCAAACGCTTCCTGTAATTATCAGTCCTTCACATTGTTGTGTAGGAATTTGGACCCATTCATCCATGATTACTTGTATCGATTCAATCATATTTGGATGTTTTCTAGGTTAACTGTTTATTTCAGGCCCTGACATTATACCCCATGGGGTTTTAAACCTGGACTTGCCTCTGGCCATTCCAAAACTACAATTCCCCTCCCGCCCCCACCCATTCCATAATGTTGCTTGTAAACCTGGGATCTTTTTCTTGCTGCATGTCCCACTTAATAGGAGAAAGGGTTTAATTCTCTCCTGAAGAATTGCATTATCTAACAGAATTCATGCTTCCTTCAACTATGGCAAGTCATCAGGGTCTCAACAAGCAAAGTTATGCTCATATCACAAAATTGCTGGGCTTGATATTAGCTTCTACAATATATCACAGTGTTTTGTTTTTGCTAAATATAGTCATCCACATAGCCACCAAAATCCACTTTTGATTCATCTCGCCAAAGGTCCATTGGAACATCCACATACTTTTTGGCAAACCTAAGATCAGCTTCACTGTTCTTCCTGGTTAGCCATGATTTCCACTTTGCTACTTTCCCATTTCTACTCAGTACTTTTCTGGCTGTGAGATCATGAATGCTTAATTTTAGCCAATATAAGAAATGATTGCAGATCTGTGGATTATTTTATGTTGAACTTTTTAAGTGATTTTGACAGGACAGTTACTTTTGGGAACATTCACTATTGTCCCAACATATTTTCCATTTCAATATTGCATCTTACTATTATTGGAATCCCAAGCTTAAGAAATGACTTCGAAATAGTTTCCAGATTGATAGGCATTAATAACTTAGCATAAACTGCCTTGGAATCTGTGCAATGAAAACTCCACAACGATAAGGAGAACCACAGATTTATTTGGGCAGAGCTAACCCTGAAAATTTTCAATTATGTACTCTTCCAACTAACTAGCAGGGCAATTACTTTTTCACACTATGTTAGATTACTTTGTTCATGAAGTAAGTAATGAAACAAATGCCTAACTTTAATTTTATTTGTTCTCTCAGAACTTCTTGATATTTTACTAGGTACATAAAAAATTCTGCTAATATTCAGTGATAACATCTGAAACACAGCTATGCTATGAAATAAGCAAAGCAACTGTGTATGGCTACGGCAATTCTGTAGCAATTTTTACAATCCAAAGTTATCATCTGAAAATTGCACTGGTTCAAAAGGTTATGATTTTTAAATGCACGTGTGACCTATTTAAAAATAGCCATTTACCATGACCCATCAGTTTCAGAAAACACAACTGTACTGCTTCTGCCCTTGAGTCTATCTGCAACTGGGCATTTTGTCTCGTGAAATAATACAGGCAGCAGAACTGGATAAGGCTTCCACCTTACTTCCAAGCCCTCCTGCTCTTTTTCAGTTGTGCTCACCTTGCTGCTGAGGCCTTCCTAACAAACAGCTTTGTAAAATAATCTCAAATTGCAACTTCTTTGTCTGAGTAACATTCAACTAGCATTTCCCCCCTGCTTATTTCCCTACACTACATACGCAGGTTCACTAGCTGATCTTTAACCAGACATTTTCAAACAATCGCTTTCAACTGGCTGTCACCCACGTGGGATCTGACATCACAGTACATCAAATAAATGTTTCTTTTTGGGGAGGGGAGGAGTGCTTTAATTGACTCAGGATGTCCAGTTCCTGTACTGACTGAATCATTGTTTCCATGAATGTGAGCTGCATGCCCACCACCTGGGATAAAGAACTTATGACTTTCTAATGCTCTAACTTCTTTGATTTAGGCAACTTAATACTTTGTTTATGGAAAATTTGCCTCCTGGTTTATAACATTCAACATCTGAAAAATGTGCCAAGTCAGTATATTAGATGAAATCCCATGTCTGTCTATTTCGGTATCTTTTAAATATTCTTTTAAAATATGCCTCCACTCGTTCTATTATTCTATAAAAGTCTTACATTTTATATAACATAGATGTGCCAAAATCTGAGTTTGCATTGACTTTTTGGTAAGGAGATGGTTTCCTTCCTTTCTCAACAGACCATCCATGCTGTACGAAAGGATTATTCATTCCCATTTCTAACTTTCAGAAGATAAGAAAAAGGCATTTTTCCTTTCTGCAGAATTCATCCAGGGCAGTTGTGGGATGAATTTCTTGGCTCAGAATTTATTTTTTGATATTGTCTATAAGAGCGCTGCCAGCACATACTGCCTTGTTCATCCTTTGAAACCTTTCTCAATGTGGAGCCTTCTAAACATGTTAGTCTATCTATTCCATTATCCTCAACCAATACAAGTATGCTGGCTGAACATTATGGACATTTTTTTTTTTTTATTGCAAAAGTTTTACAATTACATTTTCACCCCCTTTTTTCACCCCCCCACCTCCCTCCCCAAACTTCCCGTCCTCCCTAACCCTCCCTAACCCTCCCCCCCCAGACTTCCCTATTATGTACTCATAACTAATAACACTGATAACCAATACAAGTATGCTGGCTGAACATTATGGACATTTTAATCCAACACGTCCGAAAGGCAGGGGTGAAATGCCAGTAGCAAAAATCCCTGCCCCCACCACCATGCCTAGCTGAGCCGCGCGATCATCAGAGGCTTTTTAAAAAAAATTAAAAAGCATTTTTTCTACAACCTCTTCGGCCGAAAAAAATGCTTTTAAAAGTAAAAAAAAAAAGCCTCTGATGATCGCGCGGCTCAGCTGGGATCGTCAGAGGCTTTTAAAAGAAAAAAAAAAAGCCTCTGACAATCAGGCAATTCAGCTGGGATCGTCAGAGGCTTTTAAAAGAAAAAAAAGCCTCTGACGATCAGGCAACTCAACTGGAATCGTCAGAGGCTTTTAAAAGCATTTTTTAACAACCTCTTCGGCCAAAGAGGTTGTAGAAAAAATGGTTTTAAAAGTTTTTAAAAAGTTGGCCACGCCCACTCAGTCACATTACCCCACCACCACCAAGCCATGCCCACAGAACCGGTAGTAACAAATTTTACATTTCACCACTGCCGAAAGGTTAAAGAAGACTCTCGAATGTCATGGTCAAGATGTAACTTCTGAGTTAAAGATTGAAAGGAAGGAAATGAAGCTGACATTGTCAGTAAAACCGAGAACTGAACTGACGTTTAAATAGAAGGCTGTACTTCTCTGCTGTTGTGATTGATTTCCTAGTTTACTGCTGCCTCATTTCCTATTTCGTAGCTTCCTGATTTGCCAGAACAGCAGCAAAAGTAAACTGAGATTTGCACTTGTACT